ATATCATTATTAAGTACATCTTTGAATTGTCAAATGAAAAAAAATGATGCCCACCAACCACCAGTCTTGCGTCTTTGAATTTGACACAATGAAGATGCAAGTTAGTAACCCAGAGAAGAAACTCAATAAGGCAGAAAAATTATTAACATAATTTTCACACAGAACAAAATGCATCAAACGAGAGCTTCAATCACTCATTGACAAGCTGGCATTTATAGAGACTGCATATGTTCCAAATCCGTTGTTCCAAATTGGCAAAAAGCACCATCAGAAAAAAGCTAGTGCCTACTTTCGTATCATTGTGGGACGCATTCGTGCATTGTTACAATGGTGTCAATACATATCCAGAAACAATGTTTTCATCACCAGATATGCGATTAGCAACAGATGTACGCCTTATTGGTTGCGGTGATTAAATTGAATTTTTTTAACCAGTGTTCAACTCGTACACATTAAACACTTTACACATATACACAAAACATACATACACAACAACATTATTTTACATTATTTTGGCAATTATTTCACCTGGGTGCTGTAGTGTATATTGTTTCAGTCAGTAAATTTGTTACCAGCATTGAGAAAAAAAGTGGCTAATTTATGAAACTCAGTTTCTTGTTAGAAAGTGTCCCCATGTTTTTAGTTTGGGTTGCATAATTCCCATCATGCTTTGCAGTCCGCCATCTTTAAATTGGCTACATTCTTGAAACAAGCATCGTGTGGGAGATAGCTGTAGGACCATAGATATGCTTGTGTCAATCTGATGGTATAATAAACGTACATGATTTTTGTATGACATTGTTGGCATAGCAGCCATAGATTACCCTTCACAACAGCAACAATTTAGACTCAATTATTCAAAATAAAGCCCATTCTTGGACGGTCCACTAAGACACGGCCAGTCGCCATCTTACTCGCACTAGACGAGATCATACAAATATCATGTACATTTATTATAATCGACACAAGCAGAGCTATCGACTATTAATTTAATTCGAAGTAGTGGGCAACACATTTTCCTCATTAACATTTTCTAATTTTACCATCTGCTGATACTGATACACACCAGTCTCACGATTTCACTGCTTTCAGGCCACCCTTTGCAACAAATCCCAAGTTGCAACGCTATCGTAGATTGACTAATCGCACTGAAAAACACTTGATCGGTGTATAATCAATACTAGTCTACGACGATTACATTGCCATGGAAAAATTACTACAAATAAAAATACTGAGGTACAGAGGAAACTGGACAGTGAAATAGATAGCTGTTACATGTGAGGTAGAATTATGTATTGGAGCAAATGTCCACAGGCCGCGGTGGATGCATATCCAATTCAGCAGTATGTATGTAGGTAAAATGTATCCACCCACAAATTTAGAATAACATAAATTCTACATAGCCAAATAATAAAGCATCTCTGTCGTGTTGTGGAAATGTAATAACTTAATAATGTAAGATTTTAGTACATAAGTAAGGTATGTATATTTAACAGCGCCGCCACCGACGAACAGCGATTGTGCCTCCTCTTCACGGTCGACACGTGCTCCGCATAAACAATGTATGACAGAACACGTCGCGTACCAGACTTCTTGTATGCAAACAGTCGAAGCAACCAACCAAATCTGTATTATTTTATTTGACGGTTTAAGAAAAATACAAAAGTAAACAAAATATTGAATGTACATTATACGAAAATCTATGCTTGTTCGAGCCTAAGTGTTCACATCCTAACGTAGCCGGCGCAAATATTGATCATCGAGAGGTCGAAACACGGGGTTTATGTTGTAATATTTGCCAGTTTATTAAAATATGTTGAAAAGTTAGAAAGAGCAATGGAGCTTGTTTGTGAGACAAGTGAAACTGTGTCAAACACATAGCGAACAGAGTTCATTCTTCAAAGCAAAAATGACCTTCAACCAAGTCCAGGCAGAAAAAAATCGTTTGTTACCGATGCACCAGCGAAGGCCATTTTGCAAGAAATGGATAAATCAATGTGTATACCTAAGTTGGAACATTTTTGTGGCACGGAGCATCAAACTAATATTACTTCACTAATATATATTCACAGTCAAGAAGAAATGATCAAGAGAAAGTATATTATGTTGACAGTGACCATGAACATGGGTTCACAATTAATCCATGGAGTAATTTCCCAAATGGTAATATGATTAATCTGCAAACAAGTGGTGAAGTGATTTCCAGTATGCTAATATACTCATGTGCGGCATTTGTGAAATTCATTGAAATGTCGATGAATGAAGTGCTATCTGAGTGGATTCAAAGTAATTGTATTCTTGTGTTACGTGATGTATTAGGATGATTTCTAGTTGTAGCACTTATAGGTAATTATAGTAACTGAATGTTATGTAATTAAGTATGATCATATGTCTTTCTACTGCAAAGAAACTTACTGTATTGAAAGTAGTGCTTTATATAAATGCAATTTGTGCATCGTATATCAGAGATACGCAGTGGTTTAGGAAAGATAGAAATTAATCAAGCTAAGATATATATTTATCTGCAATCTGTCGACCAGAATTGCCACTGAAGAAGCGATACAGTACAATATAAATCTCTCTACTGTCAGTAAATTAGATTTGAAATGGGGATTTCATTAAATTCAGTTGAGCAAAAAATCAAGAAATATAAAGACGCACAACAGATTTTACTGTTATAAGCGACTATTGTTCGGTATCAGTTCAGCTCCTGGGTTGTACAACAATATTATACAACAAGTAATAACTGGCTGTGCTGGTGTCCACTATAGTGTTGATGACATGATAGTGCACAACAGAAATAGTAAAGAGCATGATGCAAGGTAAGTCACAATTTTAGAAGAAAAATCTTTACTTTTAATACAAATGTGTGTATGTTATGGATTACCTCACTTGCTAGAATATAATATTCATGATCAATAAATGTATCGACCCAACTATAGCAAATGTAAAGGCAGTTATTGAAGGCAGAGAACCAAGCGCTTCTGCAGGAGTTAGAACTTTTCTTGGTCGTGGTTAACTTCTCGCCAATATATATCTAACATCTATTTTTTTTGAAAACTTGCATGAGACGGTAATACGTTTATATGTGAGGCAGAACAGAAACAAACCTTTAGTCGACTAAAACAGGCTCTAGAGCTAACGCATCTCATCACGTAAGCTTTATAGCAGTTCACAGTAGAATATATCCGTGCTCATTGAATGTTGCAAATTCGTTACCTCGTCATCTAGAAGTGAATACATTAGATTTGGTGCATAACATGCCGCACCAGCCAGAGCATTAGCAATACATGAAGTGGGACAAGCATCGTCCAAAGATTAATAGTTACCTGTATTAAAAAAAGTATATTGTAAACAATTCCCTGCGAACTTCACTTTGTGTAGTGGGAGAAATCATACAGAGTCACTAGAATAATACAATCTTAGAGCATCTATGTTCAGTCTCGATTATGAAAGTTGTCAAAACATAACAGCGACTGCATACAAAAGTCTGTTGCCCTTGGATAGATAGTGACGCAGAAAGAAAGTGTAAAATTTGTTACGACTGTCAACTAGTCAGTCAATGATCTGGTCTAGAACAAGTTACGGTCTACACCAATTACTGTCAAGTCAATAGGTAGAAATTGCTACTGAGTGAATGAGTTTCCTCTTTCACGTAAACATTTGTTTAGCAGTAGACTATTACATTTGTTTCTTTTAAGCATACATACTCAGGTACGAAGGACGAAAGATAGACGAAATTGATATTGGAACAGGGGACAATGTTCTTTGAACAATAACAAAAATAGAGTTGTCCACTCCATTACTTTAATCCCATATGAGGTTATTGATAAATATAGTTGTTGGTGACTGTATATAAGGTAATAGCTCTCATCTGAATAAGTATTATGATGAGTTACCCATTAATGACTTAAATGATGATGTATCTCAAAATCTGAGTAGTCAACAGGTAAATAAATGTGAAGGCAAAGTATGACAAAAATACAAAGCAGGTGATGCCCATAACTGGCTGTGAGACAACGTCGAATAATTTGTAATGAAAACGCTATGACATATAATTAACTGAGACAATTGGGTAAGAATCACTCATTAATAGAAGGTAGCCCACCCCTTGCCCAAGTTTTTAAATTGGAAATAGGTTTTATTAAGTGATTGAATGTTGACTAGGTGAACATTGAATTTTTAAAGAAAATAGAAACTATTTCTAAAAGATTTCGTGTAATATTTCGTACACTTAATTGCAACTTATAGATGTGTGCATTACTGTTATTGCATCCATCTGTCTTTCAAAACACCTTTACTAGTAGCTACACTGGAATAACTAAGCATTTTGCTCCCCGCCTTCTTTATATACATGACTATTTGACAATCTCTCACAAAAATTAGATCTTTGGTATTCTGACTTTCAGAAATATTGAATCGGCATATAAACCGGTTCTTTTATGCTTGATTCAGAATTGCATTGCATGAACAGTTTCCTCAATGACACCATATAGTCACTAAACGATTCACTTGATTTCAAATGTTTAGTTCTAATTAAAGTTTCTCTTCAGTACTTCTATTCAGTGTGTTGTAGTCTCTGATTTGTTTTTTACCTCAAGATTGGTTGTTCCCAATGATCTATGTAATGCCAGGTATCAGCATTATAGGGAACAACATGGAAACATCAACGCTACCGGTCGTGGTGTTCTTATATGATCAGACCGGCTAACAGGGATTGGTTGAAGTTTAATGGAAAAAAAATACAGAAAACTTTGTTCTATCGGTAATAGTTGTGCGAGTGATGAATGGGAAGGAGAATTGTTTGGGCTTTAACCATGGCGAAAAGCAATTATTTATCTTGTTTTCATTTCAGCTGACCTAGATAGTCATGTCTTGGTATCTTCAGTTTGTCTTTGGTCCTTGGCGTTATCGATTGGCGAATACTGTTAGAATGTCTTATTCACTTATTCACAAAATACGGTTGTCTAGTAATTATTATCCACAAAACAAACCACACCTAAGATGAAGTTGCTGAAGTTTATTAGCACGTAAGGTCAACAATATATATGAAGCAATACATTAGTCAAATAATTATCATCCAAAATGCAAACTAGATTTACTGCTCGCAATAATAATCTACATGTTTAACCGAATTAAATATATTAAATTGGCGCAATGACATTGATTATTAGCTTAAATATGCCTACTGAAGATAAATGCGTCACGAAAAAATGAGTCCAGGTCACTAAGTAGATTCATCCAGGTGTGTGACGGAGCTGACCAGTTAGGGACAGCTGAAACAAATGGAAAATTACAATCAGTATAAGCAAGGTAAACAATTTATTTATTTTCATTTGTTTGCATATATTATATGTACGCCTGATAGTGTGTGAACCGCGTCTCAATTATAATCGTCTTATCAGTTAACTATTACGTTGTGTATCATTGATATATGCTAAATCTTACCTTCCAGGTATCTGCCAACTATTACTGAAAACCTCAGAGTCAAATGTCCTTTGCCCATCTGGTGTTATAAAGTCATTCTTTGGATTGTCATCGGCATTTCCTAGAAGTCCACATACATGCCCATGTAGGTAGTCGTCATTCAATGTTATAGACATCACATGTCCACGTCTCTTCCACGTAAGAGAGAATCCAAGTTGATTCAGATATACTATGATTGTACCTTTTTCTTTTTTTACTTTGCCTACATAAGTATCAATTACTGCTAACGAGTCAGTCATCAGTTGTCCGTTTACCTATTAAAAAATATACACTTCTCCCGATTATCAAAGATTAAATAAACAACTGCCCTACATAACGAACATATTTGGCAAACTAATGTGTGTCTCATAATTTTATTCCTGATTATGTACAGATCTCCACAATTAATGGCACTGCAGAAACCACATAGTTTATGTACATATGGGCAGCACTAAAAAACTAACACTCCCACTTAGAGTTAACTCTAGATAATTTTAATTCATGTCTTGTTGTACTTGCGTAACATCTTTGTTGATTTTAGATTTTAAGCTCTTCTAAATCAACAATGCTCGACAATAATCGCCCAAGCCACCGAAGTTGTTTGTTTAAGCTGCAATAATATAAGCACGTATTTCATTAAAGATCAATTCCCCTATTTTAACATTAATGTTCTATCGTTTGGATTTCCTGGTTGTAACTGTTTTATAACATTTGCTATAAATTGATTTACGTAACAGTTATTCACGACACAACTTGGTAACGACTTGGAATATGATAGAGTAAATAACGCCAATCTTACTTTAAAATAGCGATTTTGGTTTACAATATCAAAAGAGGGCTAGTGAAATCTATTCTCTGACTGTGAACATTATATCCAGACTACTAACTTACTAGTATAGAGTCGTCTTCATTGATTCTGATCAGTTCCTTTCCATTTGAAGTTATGTTAAATGCAACCATAAATGTTGGAGGTTCATACGGGTGGTCTTTTCCTCTGAAATCAGCAGTGACTTCAAAGTCTGGGTAAATGGTTTCGTCGCAACTTTTGACCAAGGTGTAAGAACAGTAACCATTGGAATTGTACTTGTAACCGTCAAAGGTAGTCATATGTGGCTCGTGCTGTCCACCGCCACCTTGTGTAAAAAATGAATGAATAATGAATAGTGCAGGTCATAAAGATGGATGTGGTTGGCATGACTTTGCCAGTAAGAAAAAGGAGACGAATTGTGACCATCGCATAAAGAGCGAAAACAATTAACATCATAACTGCATAACACACCAGAGCTATTATCAATTCCAACGTCAATTCCCAACGTCAGTTAGGGTATGCAATACATCGGTAAAACCAGAACAGTGGGTGAGGGCCGAGTTATATGACACATTTATTGATATCAGTTATAAATAACGTATGAACAGTGTTTTCTAGTGATATGGAATTAACAAGAGAGATAATATTATCCCTGAGTGGCCCAAACAACAACAAGGGAGATAATATTTTTCCTGAGTTGCTCCAATAACAGAGATAGTAATACGTAGTTATATTGATTTTCGAAATGTTCTTAATTTGGGGTTAAATTGTACTATTTTGATTATTATTGCATTTTATGCAGGGGAAGTGAGATAATAATAACTCCATGTTGCTAGAAAACACTGTTTATAATATCTTATCACAATGTATACTCACATTTTGGAAGTACCCGCCGAAAACCACGACCATTAACTTTGTTTTCTACAGAATTATCCAAAGTATCAGGAACAGTATAAACCACAGTAGTCCCGTAATCCTGAATTTCAGTTGCCACTTTTACTTTTGTAGTTACATCGATGATATTAAATTTAACGCTTTCAGTTGAATCCGACGGTCCGATTGTAATTTCTAGAAAGTTTTCAGCACAGTTTATCCAAGTGAATGTGAAATCTGGGTCTGTTGGGATAAAATAGGTGCAAGTCATCTTAACACAGTATTTGAGTTATTATTTACCAAGTAGTAATTCGTGGTTTGGATTTGGAAGACATAGAAACATACAACGCAAATTCCAGCATATATTACTACTTCATAGGAACTATACGGAAAATACGGATGTTTTAGCAAGAAAGCAGAATCAGCATGGGAGACGCAGAACGTCATTTAAAAAACACTCAATGGACCTTATACATACGTACTATCGCGAAAACAACTACCTACCAAGAAAATACCGCAAAATTTGTGTAACGATTGAAGCTAATAATATTACCTGCTGCATATCCCAGACCGACAACGCAGAAAACGGTTAAGTATGGTACCAATATTCATCTTTGCACGTCTTGATTTCAGATGTGGTTATGAAGCATATCTGTTTCACTCAGTCAATTATAAACAATTGGGTGATCCCATTCATATCGCAGGAGGCGACGTTCAATCGTATTCTTCTGGCGTGTTGCTTAACATTCTTCTTCAAAAGAACTTTTCCTTTTATGAAAATCGCATTGAATGAGAGAATGTTAGAATGCGATACATTTGACGATTATTATATTATCTGAAACATGTTATTACTGTGTTGGCCATCACAGTCGCGGACTGGCATATAGTCTGACCCCTGTCAATCATTACACCATTCATCAGAACATTATGTTTATTTTATTCATAATATTCATATTTCAATAGTTATGAAAACAACTTTTGATCTTCATTGGAGGATGACCGAAAATGATATTGCGATAGTCTTATACTTTCTGTTCTTCCATGTAATCCAGAGGAAACTGGAATAACCCGTTTGTTCGATGTATAATGTCATATGCGTTTCATATTTGAGTATTATATTGTTATCTTTTTTTTACATGGTATGAATAAAGTATGTTTTCAAACTCAAATCGTAGTAGACAATGATGAGCTGATAGAAACGATGAAAACACATTTACATTTATTTTCTTTATACAGTGATCGAATACTGTAAGTTATACCTCGATATATATATATATATATATATATATATATATATACATATATAAAGGGTTGCGTCAGCATTGTATAGAGGTTTGAATCGTTTTGTGTTAATACAAATAGTACTTTAATACACAAAAAATAAACAGATGTAGTGGGGATGCACCTCATAACATCATATTTGCTATATTTGATCGACAACTATGTCACTATTCTGGTGCTAAATGCATCACCATTTTAGCCAATATTTAATATGAAATGTGTGTTTGTTGCCTTGTACGTACTTTTTAATCTTCAAGAAGAAAAAAGTTTAGTGATGAGTTATGTAATTGTCCAACACAGTCACGTACGCTTGCACAACATGCATATAATATCGGATGTGCTACAGCAGGACAGAAACTAATCCGATTAATGCATCAAAAGTTAATCTGCTGACTATAACCAGCTGTAGTGGGCCAGGAAGTGTATACAATTCACATTTCGCACACAGATTTTGTAACGTGGTCGTGATATCAAATACAAATGAGTTATTAAGTATGCAGCCATCTTTTTTTGCGTTTGTATTTTTACAGTCTATACATAATAATTGCAAATTCACTCTGACGGGAATGCTATGTTTTACGTTTTCCAAGAGTATGTGTTCGGCGTGTTATCCATAAGCACTGAGTTATATAAGTTGTTTCAGAGCAATGGCTAGAGCTCAACTGAATTTCTACCCGACATAGGAATCTAGATCTGCATGCAGCTGCCAAATGCTCTGAATTTACATTCAGATGTCAAATTTTCATCGACATAGCACTATTTATTCTCATTACTTAGTGAAACAGTGAATGCATTCCTAATTTGTTTAGATAATTGTTACGTAACTATTTTTTATTAGTATTAGTACATATTTGTGACTCACTCTTGTTGGTTTTTCTTGAAATAAATAAATAAATAAATAAATAAATAAATAAATAAATAAATAAATAAATAAATAAATAAATAAATACTGACGGGCAATACAATAACAATCAATCAATCAATACAATTAAGCGAGTATGTAAGAGATTCGTTGTACGGAAACTAAAATATTGTTTCCCGATTTTCCGAAACAGTCAAGCATACACAGCATGCCTGAAAGACTGGCTGTGTTACTACATATGATGAAAGGCTGATTAGTGAATAGTTAATGTGTTGATTATAACCAGATGCAGTGACACAGGAAGTTTATTCAATTGAAATTCACACAGATGTTATGTTTGTATGGTGTCTATAAAAACTTTATCAATGATTGCACAACCAACTTTAATTTATGGTTTTTATAATCCAATAAATATATATGTATTAATTGCACTCACCTTAACTATGCGGGTTTGCGCGGATTTATATATTTTGGCTGTGAAAACAACAGATTGCATGGCTGGTTAATGGTGATGGGGTTTACGTAACAACAGAAATAACCCAAATGAGTGTGTGCTAATAGTGGCAGAGAATGGTAACGACCAGGAGGAAGAATTTTATTCAGCACTTCAGATTCATAAAATGAGTGTTAAAATCTTTACTACTCGAGTTGAATAAATCTGATATTCCAGGGTCACTAATTTGATAAACTGTTCATCCCATATTTCCAGTCTGCAGCTTATGTAACGCAGTGATCGTAATTTGTGAACGCGTATTCAAGACATTATAATAGCATTATGATTAAAAAATATAGTTATTTTGTAGCCATCACTATTTTTATTGGTAAGATAATTATTAAATTTGGAGTCAATTTAAGAGACAAGAGTGAAACACATTTCTGTGTGCCGAGAAGTTGAGGTTGGGAAAATTTGAAATAACGTCGCAAATATATACGGCTTTATATCACACATGCGAAACTACCAAAATTATTTGAATTATTTGAATTTCTAATAATAATAATAATAATAATAATAATTCAAGAAGTATTTTGAAAGGTAATGGTGAATTTTGTAATACCCGACCATCGTTCATATTAATATTACATAGTATAATGAAAGATACAAGAAATTGTCAGACAGCTTTATTACAATGGACCATAGTAAATGAGATACACGTATATACTATATACAAATGAATATGAAATGAACTGCTGAGGCAATAGTAAGCAATGGCGTGCAATCATAGTTATATAAGTCAAATCATCAAATTTTCCGTACCTCTGTAGTGTAATTATATGGTGTTCAGAAATCTCGATTAAAATATGTTCACTGGAGTAATTTCTGGCAATTTCTTTTCATTTTGTTTGGCAATATATCTCATACTTGGTTAAAAAAAATTATTACTTGTTTCGGAATGAATACAAGTTTGAAACAAATAAAACCTATAAATTTATGTTCATATATACAACAGGCAAAGCTGCAGAGTTTTCATCACTATCGGTTTATGATCAGGTGGTATTTCCTTAATTCTGTCGTATTAAGTGAAATAATCAGGTAACTGTTGTGTTGTTGTCATATTGGGTTTATATATTTTTCCCACATATCGAAAACTCACAACAGTTAAATTCCTCATTTAGACTTCTCTAGAAATGTTGAATTAACTCCATGTGTTTGTTGCAATTTTCTTCCTCCAATGTGGGGGAATAACGCCACATGCGACAAAATCAGCAAAATTTATACGTGGGGGACACTGAATATATGCTAATTAATAATGATCAAGTGATGGTTACGGCGGGGTTACCCTAACTGACTGTTTGTGCGAATAAAGCTGGACTATCTGTATAATGAACTAATGTGTATTTATTTTGGTCGAATCTGGAATCTCTACGTGTAAGCGGCTACTGCCAATCAAGACGTGGTTCCCGTTCCCCTCTCCACGACGAGTGTTCATAACACAACCCAATAGCGCGATCCGCGAGGTTTTTTGTACCGTGAATATCATTTGACCATGATTAAACTTATTTGTGAAACGGCTGTCGCAAATTGTGGATTTTTAGCGATGCGCATATCCTAAATCCCTAATTTCGATTTGTTTATCCCACATGAATCAACGATAAATTTGACAAACTGAAAGACGATGGAAAACAAGATATCGAGATGTTAGGACATTATTACAAATATCATATAACATATGCATATATACTGCGTTATGGGGACCAGAAATTGGTGAAGTTCACTAAAGTAGACATGGATTATTTAATACCTGCTGATTGTTTTAAGGTATTGTGCAAATGCTCTCTTTCATAATAAACTGGTCACCAGATTTAATAAGTGCCGCTGAGTCTATAATTCTACCTTTGCGAGCAACTAAATATTTCGAAACTATACAACGCCGCCAGTGACTGTTCCCGATACTATGCGTCAAGGAGTCGCATATAGTTTGGTTAAACGCTTGCGGAGTCTCTTGACATTGTGGTTTTAGTTTTAAAGAAACCTTATGGGTAAGTTTGTGTATTTCTGTGCATGTTTGAATATCAACAGATTTAATAGTTTTGATTGATTTTGCATCTTAATAAATGCTCATACAGTTACTAGAGACCTTAATGATAACGTAGATATTGACCACCAGAGACGTCACTTTTGTGTTCGTGTCATGAATTAGTTTTCGCGTATCTGTTGACCGACTTATTTAGCTGATTACTAGTGAACGGCTGTGTTATATCTGTCATCATTTAGACTCATGCGAGGTCCTGGACGGGATTTGGCACAGTGATTTGGAATTAATTACGATATAACCGTCGCTATCCGGACCGCTAAATAACGTATACTTATTGTCGTCAGATTAACACCAAATTTTCACAGCTTTAAGGTGACAATGAGAGGAACTTGAATGTGTCCAGACAAACTATTTCATGGATTATTTACCAACGTGTTGTGGTTTTAGTTGGGGGCAATGCGACTAAAACAGAAATTAAAATTCAGCACACCACATTTTAAAAAGCGCTGCTTAAATAAAACTGACCAGACACATTCAATTTACCAGACTATTGAACAACTAGGAAAAGTGAGACAAAAAACTTCTTATTACCAGCATAACTGCGTAATTATGTTTTTCACCAAAAAAATATGTGTTCACCTTTGATTGAATAACGCGTCGTAGAATGCACACTTTTTTGAAAAGCTTGAAGTCTGGCGATTCCAAAAATATATACTTTCCTGGGTCTATTTGTAGTCATTTAGTCACAATTAGAAGATGAAAACAAGTATGCAAATAATAGTCCCGCTACCTTAAGCAGACGAGATATAGAAACCAGACGAGAATTCCCCCCTGACACGTGTTAGAGAACCCTGGGCAGACGAAAATTATTCTTCGGGATATACGAACGAATTTAATACTGCGTAAATTTGTCAACTATAGTAGTGAGATTAAGGTAGATGCAGGTTCGTGGGCATTTGGGTGAATATTTTTTTTTACTTTCTGTTATTCAAACAGTCTTGGCTATATACTGTTAAAATTTTTGTAGAATTTGAATAGTGAAGCATACTCAAAAACTATTTTAAAATATAGATTACAGGTGCAAACATTATCTCTTTTGAATGCTTAGCAAGATTTAGCAAGGCTGTACATAAATAATAAAAAAAAAAGAAACATGGCGACAAAAAGAAATGACGGGATTTCCATATTATGCACTATATTTAACTTTTTAACAAAACGATAATATATTTAAATTTTGAACTTTGACACCCATTTTAATTATGAGCATTAGCAAACTTCTTACTGAGTGAATTTAGTGCACATCTCAGAAAAATAGCTCCTAGACGCTTTGACTTTTTGTTTTGAAATTTTCCCAAATGATTGACAATGCGTTTATTTTCAAAACGCCGTCGGGGCAATGTTTTTGGTTGAACAGTGTTACAACAATTGTACAGACAACTAGCCTGGGCGTTCATTTATGCATAAACTTGAAGTAGTGAAATTTGAGCTGCTGTCCTAAAAAATTGACAACTGGTAGACAGTTTTCAAGACGGCACTTTCTTCATAATAAACAGATGTACCCATAAACCAATTTTGACAGGAAATAAAAGCATGGTTTAGAAGCTAATTTGTTTTCACTTTTGACCAAAAAAGCACGTTTTTGTGCATATTTCAAACTACAGTGTTCATAAAAAAAATACTAACAACATGTTTAAATTCATACAATAAGCTTTCCGAAAATATATAGTTCTGTGGACAAGGGAGGTCATCTTGGTTTCCTAATTAACTAATTAAAATACCTGTCAAGTACACTGCATCTCTACCTTAAATGTTCTTTTTAAAAATGTTGGTTTGACTTTAGAATATCATCTTTTAACGTTCTTGGATTGTGCTACAATAATAATTTTCGTATGTTGTTTGGACATTCACATGACTGTAGTGCGAGTATAAAGTTTGTTAGTAATCGTGTTAATACTCTTGATAGTTTATACAGAAAACGTGTCTATGCATTTACAGAACGCTTA